GAATTAGTACTAAAAGATACTTCTTATGGAAAGTATGTATATTTTGGGACCCTGCCAGCCTTTCCTAGTTATCTCTTTTTTTTTTTTTTTATTTGAGATAGAGTCTCACTCTGTCACCCAGGCTGGAGCACAATGGCACAATCTTGGCTCACTGCAATCTCCGCCTCCCAGGTTCAAGCAGTTCTCCTGTTTTAGCCTCCCAAGTAGCTGGGACTACAGGCTCACACCACCATGCCTGGCTAATTTTTGTATTTTTAGAAGAAATGGGGTTTCTCCATATTGGTCAGGCTGGTCTCGAACTCCTGACCTCAGGTGATCCACCAGCCTCAGTCTCCCAAAGTGCTGGGATTACAGGCGTGAGCCACTGTGCCCAGCCTCCTAGGTATCTCTTTTATCCCTTGGTATATTCTTGTATATCCATCACCCCTAATACTGACAGGTTCTGCCCTCTGCATCTAGGTCGGTGCTAACAAGAGGGACACCTTTAAAGGTAATGTAACAGATCCTATAGGTACCTGCGATGCTGGCTACTACTGCTGCTATGTTCATTCAACTCTTATGGGTTGAATGGCCACAGCCCCAGAAAACCTGTGCAGACATCCCTCAGAGTGTATCTATATTTGCTTTAAGCTGTGCCATACCCTTGGCAGAGTTCCCTCCTCTGTTTATCTTCAGCCTCTACATTCTGCAAATATTTGAAATCATTTACCTTACTCTGCCAGTGTTGCAGTAGGAACTGCCGCGTATTTCCTGGAAAAATTATTTAAAAATGGTACTGTTTTAGGTGCCTCAAAAGTAGCATGATCTTGGTCTAGCACAAAACAGCAACCTAAAATCAATCTTGAACATAAAGAGGTAAAAGTATGTAACTTAATACCAGATTTAATAGAAAACTTGAAGGGGGTAATTCTCATGTGCTTTTCCTAGAAATTATTATTCTGTTATAATAATATGTAATATTAATGGGTTTTAACCTTCTGCCAGAAACTGTTCTAAATGCTTTATATACATCAAATAATTTAATCTTTACAACAACCCTATGACTAAGACACAGAGATAAAGTAATTTGCCTAAAGTCACATAGCTGGTTAATAGCAGAACAGAACCAGGATTCTAGCCCAGGTGGTCTGGATTCACAATCCATTCCCCAGGGTATCTTTTCAACTGTACCTACCATTGATATACTGTACAGACTGTCTCTGTGCCTCAGTTACTTCACCTATAAAATGGAAATAATAATAGGACTCACTTCATAGGTTTGTGGTGAAGATTAAATAATGTGATATATGCTCAATAAATATTATCTACTTTTTTTTTTGAGACAGAGTTTCGCTCTTGTTGCCCAGGCTGGAGTGCAATGGCACTATCTCGGCTCACTGCAACCTCCATCTCTCGGGTTCAAGCGATTCTCCTTCCTCAGCCTCCCGAGTAGCTGGGATTACAGGCATGTGCCACCACATCCAGCTAATTTTGTATTTTTAGTAGAGACGGGGTTTCTCCATGTTGGTCAGGCTGCTCTCAAACTCCTGACCTCAGGTGATCCACCAGCCTCAACCTCCCAAAGTGCTGAGATTACAGGTGTGAGACACTGCAGCCAGCCTATATTATCTACTCTTATTCAAAGTCCTCAAAATTTTTTCTTTATTTCTTTTTTGCCTCTGGGCATAATGTAGCCTACGTAAGATCTCCCTTCTCAGTTTTACCCTCTGTTCATGCTACAGCTTAAATTCCTTTTCTGATACACTCCCTAGCCCCTCAATCCTATTCTACCTCTTTTGGTACATTATCTGTAAATTTTGTGCCAGTTAATATTAACATGGGCTACTTCTTTCTCTAGCTCTTTTTTATTAACCTCCCACTAAAAATTAAGTTCCTTGAGGATCAGCATCATCTCTTGTATTCTGCATAACCAAACTTGGTGCCTTGCCCATGGTAAGGTTGGATTCTAGGAGATTTCACATTGTGTTTGAAACAAATTTGCTAGTGAGTCCTTTTTAAAAACCTTTTTGTTGTAAAAGAAAACACAGACACAGAATATCACACATAGCAAATGGATTGCTCTACCACCTGATCAAAAAATGGAATTTTGCCCACCACCCCAGAAAACTCTTTGTGTGCCCTACTTCAATTGTAACATGCTCCCTTCCCTACAAAGCAACCACAATATTGACTTTTATTGTAATCATTTCCTTACATTTTTTTAAATAATGGAGACAGGTCTTGCTATGTTGCCCAGGCTGGTCTCGAACTCCTGGCCTCAAGCAATCCTCCTGCCTCAGCCTCCCAAAGTGCTGGGATTACAGGTGTGAGCCACCAGTCCTGGCCATTTCCTTGCATTTTAAAGATAATTTTATCACCCAAATGTGCATCCATTTAGTTTAATCTAGGCTTTTTCGAGATATGATTCATATATCATACAATCAGACATTTAAAGTGTACAGTTAAATGGTTTTCAGTATATTCACAGAGTTGTACAACCACAATCATAGTCAATTTTAGAACATACTTATCACCCCCAAATGGAACCCTGTACCCATTAGTAATAACTCTCCATGTCCTTTCAACCCTTCTAGGCCTAGACAAACTCCTGTCTGCTTTCATTCTCTATGGATTTGCCTATTCTGAACATTTCATAAAAGGAAAATTATGTAATATATGGTCCTTTGGGACTAGCTTTTTTCACTTAACATAGTATGTATTAGTACTTCATTTCTTTCTTTCTTTTTTTTTTTTTTTANAAGGACAGGGAGGAAAGAGAATCCATAACACAGTTGGGCCAAATGTAAACTAATACAGTCATTATGGACAACAGTATGGAGGCTTTTCCAAAAATTAAAAATATAATTACCATATGATCCATCAATCCCACTACTGGGTATATATCCAAAGGAAATGAAATCAGTATGTCAAGGAGAAATCTACACTCCCATGTTCACTGCAGCATTATTTACAATAGCCAAGATACAAAATCAACCTAAGTGTCCATTAAGGATGAATGGATAAAGAAAATATGGTATGTATACCAATGGAGCACTATTCAGCCATAAAAATACAAGGAAATCCTGTCATTTGTGATGACATGGATGAACCTGGAGGACATTATGTTAAGTGAAATAAGTCATGCACAGGACAAGTACTGCATGATCTTACTTACATAGAAAATCTATAAAAGCACAACTCATAGTAGCAGAGAGTAGAATGGTAGTTACCAAGGGCTAGAATGGGATGGTTGGGGAGGTGTTGGTCAAAGGATACAAGAATTCAGTTAGAAAGGAGGAATAAGTTCAAGAGATCTATTATACAAAATGGTAACTAGTTAATAACAATGACTATATTGAAAATTGCTGAGAGTAGATTTTAAGTGTTCTTACTATAAAAAAAAGTATGTGAGGTAATGCATATGTTAATTATCTTGATTTAGCTAATTATACAATGTATACATATTTCAAAACAACATGCACATAATATATACAATTTTAATTTATCAATTAAAATAAAATGTTAAAAAACAATTAAGGCCAGGTGTGGTGGGTCACACCTAGAATCCTAGCACTTTGGAAGGCTGAGGCGGGAAGATCACTTCAGCCCAGCACTCATGATCACCTGGGCAACATAACCAGAGCCTGTCTCCACACAGAGAAATTTTAAATTAGCCAGTAATCCTGATACTGCAGACTGTACAACTACAGCCACGCACTTGTACTCCTAGCTACTCAGGAGGTTGAGGTGAGGTTGAGGTGGTAGGATTGCCTCAGCGCTCCTTGCTTGAGCCCAGGCGTTTTGAGGCTGCACTGAGCTTTGATTGTGCCTTTGCACTCTGGCCTGGGCTATGGAGCAATACCCTATCTCTTTAAAAAATAATTTCTTAAAAAGAATTGATCAGATTGAGATGGAGCAGCCAATAGGTGGGGAGAAGCCCAAGAGTGTTGTTGCTATAACCAAGTGACAAAAGTAGCCCTCCCACCCCCAAAAAAGAGAGTACGTGAAATTGACCAGGCAACATGATATGTATGAAGAGATGAAAGCCTAAGACAAGGACCCTGTATTTTAGGGACAGACAGAGAAAGATGAGCTGCCAGGTAGATAGGAGGAGACTGGGAACATTTTGGGTCCCAAAAACCAGGAATGGAGGAATAGCTGGCAATATTTTTACAGTAAGAAATCAAGTAAGATACGATTATCTTACTTGAGAGGTGGCTATTGGATGTAGCAAAAATGTGTACGACTTTGGCTAGAGAAGTTTAATGCAGTGTAGGAGCAAAAGAGGAGGTTACATTATCTTGGGTGACTGGGTCAGAAAGTGAAGACTATGAGTACAGATAATGTCTTCAAGAGGTTTAGCTGTGAAGGACATGAAAGGACAGGAACTAGAGTGGGACATAGGTTAAAGGAAAGTAAAATTTCATTAAGTTATTTTCTTTCTTTTTTTCTTTTTAATTTTCTTTTATTTATTTTTTTATTTTTAGAGAACGGGTCTCACACTGTTACCCAGGCTAGTCTCAAACTCCTGGCCTCAAGCTATCCTCCTCCCTTGGCCTCCCAAAGTACTTGGTTTACAGGCATGAGCCACCGCTCCCAGCATCATGAAGTTCTTTTGGTTTTTCTTATAGGAATGTGATTTGCCGTTTTAGTATTATGCCTGTTTTCTTAGCTTCATTTTATTTTGAGATGATAGGACAAGAATTGAAAACATATAACTATATTTGTATTGTGTAATTAACCCTTTGCATGTGGTAAGGAAATAGCTTTACTATCTTAATTAACTAGATTTTCTCAGTATAAATTTTGAGAGATTCTGGATAATGAAATCTCATTTTAATATATTTTGTATGCTGTTTGCTTTTTAGATCATTCATCGAGATATAAAACCTGAGAATATTTTAGTATCCCAGTCAGGAATTACTAAGCTCTGTGATTTTGGTTTTGCACGAACACTGGCAGCTCCTGGGGACATTTATACGGACTATGTGGCCACACGCTGGTATAGAGCTCCAGAATTAGTACTAAAAGATACTTCTTATGGAAAGTATGTATATTTTGGGACCCTGCCAGCCTTTCCTAGTTATCTCTTTTTTTTTTTTTTTNCACCTGGTTAATTTTTTTTTTTTTTAAGATGGAGTCTCACACTGTTGCCCAGGCTGGATTATAATGGCACAATCTCCGCTCACTGCAGCCTCTGCCTCCCAGGTTCAAGTGATTCTCCTGCCTCAGACTCCCAAGTAGCTGGGGTTACAGGTGCCTACGACCATGCCTGGCTAAATTTTTGTATTTTTAGTAGAGGGGGTTTCTCTACGTTGGCCAGGCTGGTCTTGAACTCCTGACCTCAGATGATCTGCCCATCTTGGCCTCCCAAAGTGCTGGGATTACAGGTGTGAACCACAGCACCTGACCAATTTTTGTATTTTTAGTAGAGATAGGGTTCCACCATGTTGACCAAGCTGGTCTTGAACTCCTGGTCTCAAGTGATCTACCTGCCTCCACATCCCAAAGGGCTGAGATTACAGGTGTGAGCCTCCACACCCGGCCAAGATTTGATTTTTTTTTTTTTGAGATGGAGTCTCACTCTTTCGCCTAGGCTAGGGTGCAGTGGTGTAATCTCGCCTCACTGCAACCTCTACCTCCTGGGTTCAAGTGCTTCTTGTGCCTCAGCCTCCCAAGTAGCTAGGATTTCAGGCACCCACCATCATGCCCAGCTAATTAGTGTATTTTTAGTAGAGACTGGGTTTTGCCACATAGGCCAGGCTGGTCTTGAACTCCTGACCTCAGGTGATCCACCTGCCTTGGCCTCCCAAAGTGTTGAGATTACAGATGTGAGCCATTACGTCTGGCCTAATATGTTTTTAAACTATCTTTTAAATGACGGGAATTTCCTCTATCCCTTTGTTTCCCTTACAGCTTACATGTTGAGGAGTTCAGACCATTTGTTTTGTTGAATTTCTCACAATCTAAATGCTGTTGATTGCATTCCCATAGAGGAGTTCAATGTGTTTATCTGTCCTTTGTATTTTCTGTAAATAGGCAGCTGATGCAGATTAGTCTGAGATTCAATCCCTTTGGCACGACTGTAGGTATTACTGTTTTCTTTCATCAGAGGGCACATGTTTGAATGTCTCTTTTTGTGATGTTAGTAAGCATTGATGCTTAATGACTAGATCCATCACTTCATTGGGACGTCTAAAATGGTGTTATTTTAACTTTATCATCTTTTTAAAATTTATTATTTGAATACTTTTATAAATAGACATTTCCCCTTATTTGGTTACCTAATGATATAGTTCACATGGAGAAACTGGGTAAGTACTTGATTTTTTTTTTCATACATTTTAAAGAATTGGCTCCAAAAGGTGACCTCCAAAGGCAACCAATTAATTTTTTTGGAAATATCATTATAAACTCATGAACTTAAACATATTTAATGAGTTTCAATGTATTGCAATTATCAGGGCAGAAAGATAATACCTTTTGCCTACCTATAACAAGTTTCACAGCCAATATTCGTATAACAAAAGATAGGTTAGCAAGCATGACAAATTTAACAAAGTTCTATGTGACATAGAAGTCTTCATAAATGAAAACCCAAAGACCCAGGGAGAACACAGTCTGATTTTATGCTAAATTTGCTGAAAGGAGTGGATAGTTGTAGAGAAACACGACTGGGCAAAAGGAGTAAGATCTAATGGTAATAAGCACAGCAAGGCCTGTTTGTTCAGATTCTTCCGCCTGTTTTCCATTCCTTCCTTCCAGGTGTGGTGGGAAGGAGCTCTCTGGAATGAGGGTCTTATCAAGGGAGGTAGATCAGAGAGTGACCTTTCTATGTTTTATGGCTTGCTTTGGGGAAGAGGAATTCTAGTTGCCCCAGAGGTGGGCAAGGGGAAGAGAAATGCTGGTTTCTGTGATACACCTTGAGGGAGAAAGGAGGACAGGAGAAGTTCAGAGACATTTTGTTTCTGAGGCCCTTCTAATCTCCTTCAGTTCAAAATATGTGTAATGCCAAAGCACCATACTTTTGGGTATCATAGTCTAAACCTGGATGCAATTATTGTTATTATTGAAGTCCAAAAATCAATGGGTGCCTTTTCAAGGCGGCTTCCCAAGTCCTTTTAAAAGGACCTAGTATGTAGAATTTGATACTTTCCTTGTGACCTTACTGACAAGATAGTAGTCCAGGCTCATGGTTTATATGTTTTTGCCCCAGGCCTAGTGTTAGCCATATTATATTGTTTTTAAAAACAGCATAATTGAGATATTTTTATATAATATGATTCATCCATTTGAAGTACATTTCAGTGGTTTTTAGTATATTCACAGATATGTATGACCATCACCACAGTCAATTTTCATCAACTCAGTAAAAACCCCATACCCTTTGTCTATGACACCCCAGACCTCCAAACCCACTCCCTAACCCTGAGCAATCACTATTCTTTATTTTTATAGATTTTTCTTTTTTAATTTTAATTTTATTATTATCTTTTATATATAGATGAGCTCTCCCTATGTTGCCCAGGCTGGTTTTGAAATCATGGGCTCAAGAAATCCTCCCCACTCAGTCTCTCAAAGTGCTAGGATTATAGGCATAAGCCACCACACCTGACCCTACTTCTGCAGGCATGCACCATTACAGCTGGCTAATTTTGTTTTTTTTTTTTGAGATGGAGTTTCGCTCTTGTTACCCAGGCTGGAGTGCAATGGCACGCTCACCACAACCTCTGGCTCCTGGGTTCAGGCAATTCCCCTGCCTCAGCCTCCTGAGTAGCTGGGATTACAGGCATGCGCCACCATGCCCAGCTAATTTTTTGTATTTTTAGCTGAGCTGGGGTTTCTCCATGTTAGCCAGGTTGGTCTTGAACTCTTGACCTCAAGTAATCTGCTCACCTCGGCCTCCCAAAGTCCTGGAATTACAGGCATGAGCCACCATGCCCAGCCAGAACTTTATTTCTTTTTATGGCTGAATAATATTCCACTGAATGGATAGACCTCTTTTTATTTATCTTTCATCAGCTGATGGACATTTGGATTGTTTTTACTTTTTAGCTATTATGGGTAATGCTGCTATGAGCATTTGTATACTCATTTTTGTATGGACATATGTTTTTATTTCTTTTAGGTATATACTTAGGAGTTAGAATTGTGGGTCATTTGGTAACTCTATGTTTAATCTTTGAAGAACTGCCAGACTGTTTTCCAAATTGTTTGTACCATTTTACATTCCCACTAGCTGAGTGTGAGGGTTTCAGTTACTCCCTGTCTTTGCTAGCACTTACTATTATTGTTTTGTTTTTATAGCCATCTTAGCCCTTTTTTCTTGTTTTTTAGTAAACTTTGTTTTGGGATAATTTTAGATTTAAAAGAAAGTTGCAAAGATAGTCTAGAGAGCTTCCATATATTCCTCACCCAGTTTCTGTTTTCACTAATATTATCCTATTTCATTACTACGGGTAGATTTGTCAAAACTAATCCTGTCCTGGCCACGCAGGTGTCATGGCACATACCTGTAGTCCCAGCTTCTTAGGAAGCTGAGGCAGGAGGGTCACTTGAGCCCAGGGGTTTGAGGCCAAAGTGTGTTATGTTGGCACCTATGAATAGCCACTGCAATCTATCTAGCCTGGGCAACATAGCGAGACTCTATCTCTAAAAAAAACCCCACTAAACCATTGCTAACAACAAAACTAGCCTTGCCTTTTTTCATTTAAAAATGATTTGATTTTTTTTTTTTTAGGATGAGTCTTGCTCTGTCAACCAGGCTGGAGTGCAGTGGCATACCAGCTCATGGCACCCTCTGTCTCCCAGGTTCAAATGATTCTCATGCCTTAGCTTCCTGAGTAGCTGAGATTACAGGTGCCCATCACCACACCTGGTTAACTTTTTTTATTTTTGGTAGAGACGGGGTTTCTCCATGTTGGTCAGGCTG